TGACATTAACTGAAAATTAAAATGAAAGTATTGTGAATGTAATATTACCCATTTGACTCAGAGTTTATTATAAATTTCTATTCAGAAAAATAAGTTTATCCAATGTTTTTGCATTCAGTCTATTGCGTTTTTTTGACACGTTTTCCCCAGCTTTGGAAAACTCACAGGAACAGATGAAGCTGGGGTACACAAAAACTGTAAAGCCAGGTGGAAAAGGTTCTGATAAGATGTCTTCCTGTTCCCTCAGTACGTTAAAGGATCCTCTGATCTTGGAATGTTTCTCTCCGACACTCTCCACAATACTAAGGGGTTGACAGTCCTTCATAATAAAATTCAGGACTGCCTGGTCCAGAATAGTCTTCCTAGATGCTTGATTTGAAAATAATAAAACATGTATTAATAAAAAAAATGATAATAAAGCTGTTCAGTGTCTATATAGGCCGACCTGTGTTCATTCTCGGTGTGTTTGTCTCCTCATTTTCATGTTTGGCTCTGTAATGCCTAAACACTGAGGAGGTGCTTTTGTTTGTGTAAGAAATGCAGAACAGATGCAACATTTAACCTGCATAAAATGAAATAAATCATTTACACTTCAAGTCACATTGCTGTTTTTCCTGTTCTGATAGATTACACTGAAACAAAGTCAGACAAACTAGTACCTTATTTGCAGTTAAAAGATCAAAATGATCCCACACAGCAGAAACATTTCTTTTTCTTTCGGGCTCCATTTTGTTATGGGGAGATGTTTTTTTTTATCTTTGCGAGACTAATTTCGTGTTTTTTTGGTGGCGACTCATTCCGTTGGCAGATACGGATGCGGTACCTTTTAAACACAGTTTGGCGCTTTGGCAATGAGCGATACAGCAGCTGCATCGATCACGTGACTTTTTCTTAAAGCGACGCACGCACCGATAAAGGCATCGCTGGGTGAGCTCGATACAAGTGTTGGTGCGTCAGTGTTGCAGGACCCATCACTACTAACCAGGATCGCTACGCCCCTTCTAAAAGAGGAATAGGAAGTTGCAAACACCTGTCCAACCCAGCCCCTCTTTAGTTTGACGTTGTCCTTATCCTCTAAATGACTCTCCTGGAGAAACGCAAAAGAAACCTCCTCCCTTTCCAAAAAGTCACTCTCTGTTATAAAATGTTTCATCAATATTATTGTCCATATGCCTTGTATTGTCTGTCTGTGGGCACCCATAGCTCTGTCCAATTAAAAAATCGAATTCCCTGAGATTATACTAAACATTATGAAAAATACAAAAAGCATGTCCAATGTCCAAAAAACCAAGTTCAAAAAGAAGTCTATGGCTTGTATGGCTGCCTATCATTATTCCTGAATTTATCAACCCTATACTAGGTCCAATTTTGTTTACATTACACAAAAGAAACAAAACAACCCAACAAAATAAAACTCTTTTGTGTTTAAGCACTCCACAATACTCACTCTGTGTCGGGCATGGCTTCTTCCAAAGATTTTGAGATTTTTTCTAAATCATCACCCATCCCTGCTGCATTGTGGGACTTGTTGGGCAAACAACTGGCTGAAATTTTAGCACAATGGTTTCTTTGTTGGATGCTGAGAAGAAAAAAAAGAAAGAAAGAAATTATATATATATATATATATAATTTAAAACAATTGTAAAAATGCACATTTTTATGTAAAATCTACTTTAAAACTGTAGATTATTTAAAAAAAATCGATTTCCCTGAGATTATACTAAACATTATGAAAAATACATTCAGATAATGCTCAGATACAACATTTAGAGAGAAAAACTGTTCCACAAATGCATTTTCTTTTTGAAATGTGTTTTCAAATATAAAAAAGGTCATTAAAAATAGACAATTGCTCAAAAACAACAACAATAATCAGCGACATGATGGATAAATTACATTCAAATAAATTATCCAAATCACAAGCAATTTGTCTGATAATAATAAAATATAAATTTGAAATTTAAAAAATATATAAAAAAATAATCAAGCCCTTATTAAATTTATTTTCTGTCCTATAAACCTGTCTGTCTGATGGATACTACCCCACACACACAAAAACATTGCTTATTCCACATATGACCTTTGATATATGTGTGGAAAAAAATCTGAGCAGACAACATGTTGGAGACTTTTTCAAAAACACAGAGAGAGCCAGCATTTAGACACAGATTACCTCTGTGTAGCTAAAGAACGTAGGTGTTCCAGAACATCTGAATTTTTACCCCAGTTCTTCCTAAAAGAAAAAACAATAATGCATTTTTTTAGTCGGCATAAAATGTTTTTTAAAATGTAAACATTGAAAGTATAAAAACTA